TATATTTTATTAATTTTCATAAACATTTACAGAGATTTTGGGTTTCCATTCATTCATTGTTGCACTATTCTGTCTACCCTCCTCCCAGTTTGTTCTTGAGGCTGGATTTCTAAAAATTAGATTACAAGTCTTTCTTCCAAATTCCTCTGGGTAAACGCTAGCCACTAACCTTTTGGCTAGAGATGGGCATAAATTTTTGTATCGCCTGTGGAGTCCATATGTCTAATGACATCCATTGTTGTTCTTGGGTGCCATAGAATCGGCTGTAACTCATAGCAACCCTGTGAACACCATATCTGAACCCTGCCTTGTGCAATTCTTACCATCTCTGGCATACTTGAGACCATGCTGAAGTCCCTATGTCAGGCCTTCTCATTGAAGGGTATCCCCTCTTTTGCTCGTCCTCTGCCTTTCCAAGCATGATGATTCCAAGGAATAGTCCCATCTAACAACATGCCTAAAGGATTTGAGGCACAGCTTCTCCATCATGGCCTCCGAGGAGCCTCTGCCTGCACTTTCTCCGTGACATCTGTTTGTTCTGGTTGTCATGGAATATTCAGTACTCTTCTCCAGCACCACAACTCAAAGTCATGAACTCTTCTGGCATAGTTATTCATTGTCCAGCTCTCAGATGCCTAGTTGGTGATTGAAAAGACCTTGACTTGTATCATGCACATCTTTGATTTAAACTGACATAACTGCTCTTCAGGGCTTTGGAGAAGTCCCTGTTTACAGACTCTCCCAGTGCAGAACTTCTTCTGGTTTCCTAACTGCAGGTACCAACGAAGTTGATTATGGCTTCAAATAAGATGAAATTATTTACAACTTCCGTCTTCCTATTGAGTTGCAATCCATATTGAAGGCTATAGTACATGCTCTTCACAGCAAGTGCTTCAGGTCCTCATTTTCAACAAGCAAGGTTGAGTCATGTGTATAACACAGGTTGTTGATGAGTATTCCTCCAGTCCTGATGCCACATTCTTCATAAAGTCCTTCTTCTTTTTTAAAGTTTTATTTTATTAATTTTAATGAACATTTACAGAAATTTTGGATTTCCATTATTCATTCATTGTTGCACTTTTCTCCCTGTCCACCCCACCCCCATTCGCTCTTCTCTTTGGAAAGTAAAAGAAAAATTCCTTCATTGGTATATAATCCCCTTGCCCCAAGTACACTCCACTATGCAACCTTCATTCTGGACTCTTGTGATAATCATAATACTCTATCATATATTGCTTTTAAACTGTTCTCTTCCTCATCTGTTTCAATGCAGTATACATAATTTATCCAGTTTTTCTCAGTCTTACCCCAACCCTGATGTCAGTCCCATTCTACAGCAGTGGCACTATTCAGTATTTGTCTTTTTGTGATTGAGATATTTCACTCAGCGTAATGTCCTCCAGGGTCACCCATTTTGAATAATATTGCTTGAGTTCCTTGTTTTTCAGTGCAGCATAGTATTCCATTGTGTGAATATAGCAGAGCTTCTCTATCCATTCATTTGTTGATGGGCACTTAGGTTGTTTCCAGCTCCTTGTTATTTTGAACAAAGTCACGATAAACATGGGTGTGCATATATCTGCTTGGATGGTGGTTATGGTCTGTTTAGGGTATATTCCCAATAGTGGAATTGCTGGGTCAAATGACATCTCTATTTTCAACTTTTTGAGAAAGCACCACACTGCTTTCTACAATGGTTGCACCATTTTACACTCCCACGAACAGTGAATAAGGGTTCCAGTTTCTCCACAACCTCACCACCATTTGTTGATTGCTGTTCTGTTAAGTTTTGCTATTCTGATGGGGGTGAGATGATATCTCATAGTTGTTTTGATTTGCATCTCTCTTAGAGCTAGGGATTTTGAACATTTCTTCATGTGCTTGTTGGCCATCTGAATGTCTTCTTTGGTGAAGTGTCTGTTCATATCCTGTGGCCATTTTTCAATGGTTGCTTACCTTTATCTTGTTGTGGTGTTCCAATATTTTATAAATTCTAGATATAATTCCCTTATCTGACATGTCATTACCAAATACTTTTTCCCAGTTTGTGGCTCCCTTTTTACCCTATTGGAGACGTTTTTGTATGTGCATAGGGATTTGATTCTTAGAAAGTCCCATTCATCTGTTTTATCTTCTCCTGGTTGTAGATTTTTCAGGATACTTGGAAGACTGTTTATGTTGTAGATTAGGACTACTAGAGTTCTTCCAAGCTTTTCTTTAATGAAGTTTATAGTTCTGGGTTTTAGTCCTAGGTCCATGATCCACCTTGAGTTGGTTTTTGTATATGGAGTGAGGTGTGGATCTTGCTTGAGTCTTCTGCAGACAGTTTTCCAATTTTACCAACACCGTTTGTTAAAAAGGCTTTTGTTTCCCCACTTAACTGATTTCATCTCCTTGTCAAAAATCAATTGCCATAGGTAGATGGCCTGATTTCCAGGTTCTCAATTCTATTCCATTGATCTATGTGTCTGTCATTGTACCAGTACTATGCTGTCTTAACCACCATGGCAGTGTAGTAGGATTTTCAATCAGGTAGTGAGATGCCGCTTACCTTTTTTTCTATTTTTAAGGGATGCTTTCTTATTCATGCTTCTTTCCTTTCCAAATGAAACTGGAGATTACCTTTTCC